GATAATAATGTCTCTGGATGGCATGCCAATGATGAAATTCATACGTCATATGAGCAGAATTGTATAGGAAAGAAAGGACTGCTTGTTTAAAGAGTAAAATAATCTGTTCAACAACCTTCATCAAAAATAGTTAGTGAGGGTGGACAGTGGTGGCAGCTGCCTTTAATGCCAGCACTCAGGTGGTAGAGGCAGGTGGATCTCTGAGTTCAAGGCCAGGCTGTCTACAGAGTGATGACAGTCAGGGAAACACAGAGAAACCAAGTTTTGAAAAACCAAAAGCAAACAAGCAAAACAAAACTCATGAGTACTGCACTGGGATAAAAATATCTGAGCAAGACAGAAGAACCAAAGACTTTAGAGCCTCCAGTCCATGCCAGTTCAGATGTTCACACATTTTTCCTGGTAGGTTTGATTAGGCAACTGACTACATACATCTCCTTTGGGAAATGAGAAAAATATCTACCATGCAGATAAGGGATGTGATCAATGGAGGTGAATGTCATGGTTACCATGACTACTATCAGCAGTTCACCAACTGTTTTACCAAGTACCTACGATGCTGAATTGCTGAGCTAAAATGAACCGTGTAGACAAGGGCTTTGCCCTTAAGGGTTTAGAGTCTAATACCAGGCGGGACACATAAGTAAATGATGAATAAGGCACAGACTAAAAAGAAAATACATGAGACATGTGTGTAGAGATAGAGAATAAAGTAGACATTCCATTGTATCCAGGGATGGTATTGTGATAAGAGTGGTCTTCCCGTGTCCAAGCAAGAGGACCATAGAGGAATGTTCTGTGCAAAGAGGACAACAGATGCCAAGCTGCTAAGGCTGGAGATGGATTCCTATAATGTGCCATGGGACACTGACACGAGGAGAAGTCTGGGAAATAAGAATCATAATAACGCAATAAACTCAGTTCTGCACCAGAAAGCCTATGGCACTTTAAGAAATGTGTAATTTAAATCTTCCAGAATATCACAACCTTCCAAATTTGGGCTATGTTTTCAGGAACAATGTTTCCAAAATGAGCTAAATACAAGCTCGCCAGAGAGGACAGAGGAACAATGGCTGTGAAGTGTTTCTACTGAAAACCTGTGTGGTGGCTGCCTTGCCTTAGGCATCCTGCTTTATGTCCCTTGACACAGGGATTGTGAGCGTTTCATTTCTGTAGGGCTGTTTGCTATTGTGATTTACACACATTAAATATGTATTTCATCAACTTCTTATGCACATGGTCTTGAATCATGGCCTATGAGGCCAAGTAGAATAAAATTTCCTATTCATCTGCACAGAAACACAAACACCCCCCCCCACACACAGGTTTTCATTAAACCCAAATCTCTGCACCTGCTAGCCATAAGCATTCTTCCAATACACTATAACACAAACCAACACTCCCCACAAATTGGCATCCGTGTGTGTGTGTGTTCGTGTGTGTATATGAGTTTGGTTTTGTGTGTGTTTATCATGTTTTTATGGGTTGGAGTGTCTGTTTGTGTGTGAATGTTGCTTGCATGTGTGTGCGTTCATTTATTAAAAGAGTTTGCCATCTGCCATAGCTAACTGCTAATGCCTAGATTTAAGTGAGCCTCTTTCTTCAGTGTCTTGGAGATCTGAGCCTCCTGATGTGATGGGAAGTGTCTGGTATCTGGGATCCACTCTGCTCTGCTGAGAAGTGGGCATGCCTTCTGCATCCTTTGGAAGGCTTCACATGGCCACCTGTGTGCTGCCTGGGTCAGCAGGGGTGGCTCCACTTACCACTTCTCTACCTCACAACCAAAGTCCCGGGTGTGTTTCTCAGAAAACAGTTTCTATTACATACTTCGGGTTAGAAGGAATCTTGAAGTCGGGAAAAGAGACAAATCCAGTATGATTGTTTCCATGTACTGTGCCAACTTCTGATCCTTCAGGGTCCTTTAGGGAAGGAAGAAAACCCACCTGTCTTAGCTTGTTTTCTGTTGTATAAAAGAATAACTGAGACCAGGTGATTGTCTAAAGACCAGAGATGCATTTTGTCCCACAGTGCTGGAGTATGGATTTATAAGGAGATGACTCTGTATGGAGAGGGGAGCGGCCTCGTATCAACTCTGAATGGGAAAGCAGATGGGCAAGCAAGCACTTATGAAGAGTTTGTTCTCGTGACAAGACATTCTGAGAAAGGGGGCAGCCCTGCTCAGTCCATACAGCTGTGAGGGGAGTACCCTGGGACTGAGGAAATACTTACTATGAAAGTTAAGACAGCTTCCTTTGTAACTGTCTCTAATTCATCATGCAGGGAATAGATGCCAACCTTTACTGTAAGAAAAGGTGATATCGTCAAAAACTTTGTTAAATAAGGGCGATTCTGATTTGTGAGACAAATAACTTCAGGGTGAAAATCATATAAAATATATTGGGAGACATTCTCAAAGATTCATAAAATAAAATAGTTTAAAAACATCTTCAATGAGATAAATCTTATTAAAAACTGTAAATACCCTTATGGAAAAATATGTATTTAAGAGAAAGTTGTTGGTAAAACATTTGTATTAATAAAGAAACCTTCACTTTAAAGCAATTCCTCAAGAGTTACTTCTAGAGAACAAGACAGTTCACTTTATGAAAATGCTTACATACAACTTGCTGGGAACATGCATATAGTATAAAATTAGTTATATCTGTCACTGGGCAACCATTATTGGGAATTTCATAATATCAAAAGGATGAGTTCTACTGTACGCTATATGAAAACATACAAGGCTGCTTTACATTAGGACTGAATATTAGGACTGAATTGTTAAATGGCAAGATGGTGTTTTGTGTGGATAAGGCACTGTGGTCATGTGATTTTTGTTACATTTGCTGCCCCAGGTCCTGTGGGTGCTCTCTCCTCATTAAGAGAATAGTCGCTGCATCTCAGAACTGCTGGTTCTTCAACATTCCAGGCAAACACTCTTTCACAAAGACATATCACTCTGTTTTCTTTCTAAGAAGTACAAGTTAGCCTGTGGTCACAGGCCTTGTTCATCAGGTGCTGGGATTATAGACTTGTAAGACCAAACCCGTCAAGGTCCTCTATTTTTACATTTTGTATGTGTCTCAAACTGATTTATTTTCCTTTTCCTACTCATTTTTATTCATTTTAAGATAGGCACACAGATCCAGGTGGTGAGGTGGCACACACTTTAATCCAAACACTCGGGAGGTACAGGCAGAAGGATCTCTGTGAGTTGGAGGCCAGCCTAGTCTACAAAGCAGGTTCAAAGACAATCAGTGGCATATAAATCCTGTCTCAAAAAAAAGGTTCAAAGGAGAAAAATTAGGTGAACATTTGATGTGTTTTCATCTCTTACGATGTAGATTTTCATCTGTACAAGTTTAAATTTGATCCCTTAAAACATCTTCTTTGTCTTTGCTTATTGTGATCAGTATCTTTTAACTTAAAAGTTTTTATTTTTTATAATTACAATCAGGAATACTATTATTGCATCCCTAATATTGTTATACTTACACACACACACACACACACACTCATCTAATATTACTCTTATGCTCATGTGTTTAGGGCTGACTACTCAGGATTTCATCAGCTGTGGGAACTCAATTCCTGGATAAACCCAACTCACCCTCTCCGCAGCCACTGACTGCCTATCACTCTTCATCTAGGTGAGGTCTCCAAAATTTGCCCCATCTATGCTGGTATCTCAACTATAGAGATTCACAACCATTCAAAACACAGAGAATACATGACCATGGGCTGACCACCACTGAACTGTAAAGCTAAAACAAACCCCATACCTAAGATCAGCTGCGACTCTGATATTCCAAACTGTGGTCTTGTCTGACTCCTCTTCCCTGTTCTGGGATACCTGTACTTTTGAACATCATTCCTAATTTGGGAAAATTAGTGTGGCCTCCCAATAATACTCACAGATACAAAGAGGACAGTCTCCAGATGACTCAGCACAAAAGAAGCAACAAATGCTTAAGCTATCATTATGATTTCAGTGGCTTTTTTCAGTTTTAAAACTTGTTTTTAATTAGCTTAGAATATTAATCTAAGTGTATCAGAGGCAAGATCAATAAAATATGTATATTGAAGTCAAGACTATATTGAAATGTCTTCATTGTGGTAGACCACCAAATAAGAGTGGTGAAATAATCACACGCCTTGTAGCGTTCTGTAGGATAGAAGTAATACACTTAAGTAAGTTCCCAGGAGCATGGGTGCTGTAAGGACACTCCCTAGGTTTGGAGAGGACAAGAGAAGGCTGAGGTCGTGTCTCAGTGATGCAGCCCTTGTCTGGGATGTAGGAGACCCTGGAGTTCTATGCCAGGCCCTGACGAAAGGAGAGGAAACAGAAAGACTGTGTGGAAATGTGAGGGGTTGGCAGTGCAAGCTGTGACTACAGGGTCTGTAGGGATCCCTGAGGACAGGGGGACCAGCAGGAGGTCCTGAGGCAAAGGAAAGGAGAGAAATGCACTGTGCAGAGGAAACAGCACGTAGTGCCCACCTCCATATGGATGAGAGTGGTGGGAAGAGACCTGAACTGAGGTCAGGATGACTGCAGTCCACGGTCGGCTGTGGGGTATAGTAGGGAAGGGAGCTGGGGAGAGGGCGGGACACGGGCTACACAGACTGAAATACTCTGGACAACATTCTAAGGTCCTTAGTCCTAGAGAGTCTGGGAGACTTGAGCTTTTAGTCAAGATGCTTAAGCTATAATCCTTCAAGTATCTTCGGATTAAATACACCAATAGGATAAAGGACTTTAGAATAATCTCACACACAGAGATTACCATCTCCTGTACCAAGTTGTCTTGTTGGAGTTAGATCACCATTTGCGGCAATGAATCTGTCTAAGCTGGTGGCAATGTCCTTACCCTGCCCATATCTTTCTTTCCAAGACAGTCTAATGGGTGCTCCTGCCAAATGGGATGATGACCACACAGCCCTACTCCACATCACCATGGACATCACCAGTGTCCACCAAAAATAGAAGGTCTTTACTGTACACAAGGTGAAAACAGAACAAAACATGCCAATTCTGCTTCTTCTATGAGTCCTTCCCTTTGAGTATGATGAAAACCATCAATGATTATTCTCAGCCTCCTCCCAACACATGACTTCTTGGACAGATGTCTCTAATTGTCAGGAGATGGCAAGTGGCAGGTGAGAAGACAGAGGTTTCACAAGCAATGCTGACATGATTTCTGTGTCTGATTGTCGTTTCTTTGGGGGAATATAGGGTTTCCTCCACCACAGTGTCTTTCCTGTTATTAAACTCAAAAGTAAAACTGTAGATGCTAAACGCTGCTTAACAGACAAATTCTTACGTGGCTAACCTTGGCCATCAGCATCTAGGCATCTCTGTGAGCAACAGTAATATCTGCCAGATGTCTAATCCTCTTCATTTGGATTGGTTTTTCCAACATTGGGACAAGATACTGAATCCAAGAATGTTTTACAACAAGGTTTAAGATATCATTCCTCAAGGCCAAAATGGTATTTGCAGTTATGTCTTCTGTATTTTTTATGAATAATTTCTCTACCTAGGCAGATAATGTAATCATTGGTTATGTTATTATTTAGCAATTACTTTATAAAATAAAGTGAAAATTCTATTTGTGCATATAAATGTCATTAGGATTTGAATGTTTCTTGAGTAAAGTGGAAACCTGTCTCCACTCAATTTCAGATGTTACAACTTCCACATATTTTTGTCATTCTTCCCTGAAAGGGGCATCAGATACTCTACCAGGCTGCTGTGGCATGTAGACAGGCTTGTCAGTATGGATGAAGAGAGAGCCATTGTCATGGAGGACTGGCATTTTTTCTAATTTTGAAAAATGCTTCGACACAACTTCCAAATACACATATGAATATGAGCTTGGTCCTTCAGCCAACTGTTTGGCCTGAACCTGTAAAACAACAAACAAACAGCACGATCAGAAAGTGTGACTGTAGAGTCCTAAAGCATGCTGATACTGAAAGAAAAAAAACAACCACTCTAATCTCATAAGACTAAAACTGAGCTTGTGCATTGCATCATTTTCAAAGAGGTGCACTGGGCTGGAGAGATGGCTCAGTAGTTAAGAGCACTGGTGGATCTCCCAATAGACAAAGGTTGAGTTCCCATCACCCACATGGCAGCTGAAACCACCTCTGACTCCAGTTCCAGGGATCCTAGGCCCTCTTCTGTCCTCTGTGGTTATTGCACACAATGGAACCCAAACATACATGCAGGCAAAAATACACATACACATGGACTTTAAAAGATAATAATAGGCCAGTTGTAGTGGTACATACCCTGAATCCAAGCATTTGGGAGGCTGAGGAAGACCGGTCTCTGTGAGTTCAAGATCTACAGAGCTAGTTCCAGGACAGTCAAAGCTATTAGACTATCCTTGTAGGCTAAGAAGCCCATCTGGTATGCCAAACCATCTTATTGGAGTCAGATCAACCGTTCTGGTGATGACTCTCTGTCTGAGCATGTGGCAACATCTCACCCTCTCTAGGTTGTTCCTTTTCCCAGCCTTGTCTTGAAAACAACCATTAATTGTAATCATAATAATTAATACTACTATAGTACAACACTACAGAAGTTGAGGCAGGCAGATCTTGTATTCCAAGTCTATCTAGGACTACACGCTGAAACTTTGTCTCATAAACATAATCAGCCAGACAAAGTTACTAAAACCACTACAGGAAAAAAAATAATTTAGGTTGCCAAATTCCCTTCATAGTCTGTGTCATAATAAAATTTTAGCACTAAGCATTCAGAAATCTTTTTGGTGCCATTTCAGATATATTTAACAGAACTGTTACATGAATGTTAACTGTTATAGAAACTTGTAAGAAACCTCGATTTATCAGCTTCTGGATGGATTGGTTTCTGTGTTCTCTGTGCACAGTGTCCTGTCAATGGCCTGGACAATTCTCATCACACCACAGCCTCTGTGCACACATCATAGATGCACATTCAAGTTTGCCTATGCCATTACCATCATCACCTTTATATTCAGTGATATGGGATTGCATATATTAACACAGATCATCAAAGGAAAGCATATTTCCATGAAATTCTAGGGTTCAGAAACACAGGGGTAAACTTAATCACTAAAATCACTGCATTGAGGCTATTGCAAAAAGTTTGGAAGCAGTAAAAAACTATCGATTTTCTGTGTTGAGATGAGCTATAGATGTCTTTGAGTTGTTTATCTACTTAAAACAATACTATAGCTTCTACCATGACTTCTAGCTTGATATTTTGTGGTACTGCTGTGGGAGTGGGGGTGTCTCTGACTCTTGGGACCCTTTTCCTCCTACTGGTTTGCCTTGCACAACCTTAAAATGGGGTTCATGCCTAGAGTTATCATATCTCGCTATGCCATGCCCAGTGGATATCCTGGGAGGCCTGCCCTTTCCAGAAGAGAAACGGAGCAGGAGTGGATCTGGGGGAAATGGAAGGCGGCTGTGGTGGTAGAGAATCAGGAGGAATGGAGAGAGGGGAAACTGCAGTCAGGATTATTGAAAACAAAAACATTATTCATTAATTGTGGATAATTCAATTGAAAAAGTGGGCTCAAGGACAAGATTGAGACAACACACTTAATTGGTAAATTTACTTTGTAGTGTTAACATAAAATTAAGTACATGTGTATCAATGTTTATGATTCTTCCATGGTCCTCAGACTCCTGAGATGACCAACGAACGCAGCTCAGTGAGATTTCCTGTGGTGACTGATAAGTCTTGTAACTATGCAGTCCTAACACATGGCTAGTGCCCGTGAGGAACTCAAGTATTACACTAGTTGCATTTAGTTGATTGAATTTAAAGACAAATGTGGCTAGTGACTACCATGCCTCGTAATAGAGTAGCCAGAGAAAGTAAGACTTTGGAGAAATGAATTTAAATTCTCATAAACCAAGTACTTGGGATGTGTTTTTTACAGAGACTAGAATATTTATTCTAAAGATCATCATTGAAATAATTTCTGTGATTTTTTTTAGAATTGATTCCAAGTAATGTTTCTCAGTTGAAACCATCTACAACTCCAGCCCCGGGGATCTGTAACTTCTGATCTCCCTGGGTACCCACAATCATGTCACAGCCATTCAATCCCAAAAGCACATTCATATAATTGAAATTGAAATTGTTCCTGTTTTTTTTGTTTGTCTTTTGGTTTTTATGAGACAGGGTTTCTCTGTATTATTTTGGAGGCTATCGGTTCAGCCTGGCCTCGAACTCACAGAGATCCACCTGCCTCTGCCTCCCGAGTGCTGGGATTAAAGGCGTGCACAACCACTGCCCGACCAAAATTGTTCTTAAAGATAAAACAAAATGCATAAGCTCTTAGACAAGCTAGCTGTGGTAGCTAGATGATGACGACGATGATGGTGATGATGATTATTGGTAGATATATAGACAGCCGAGATTATGTAAAGATGTATGATAGATGGTAAATAGATGATGGAAAGATGACATATAGATGGAAAGAGAGATGAGAGATGATACATAGATATATATATATAGATGATAGATAGATAGATGATAGATAGGTAGACAGATAGATAGATGATAGATGATAGATAGATAGATAGATAGATGATATATATATATATATATATATATATATAGATGATAGATAGACAGATAGGTAGTTGACAATTAGATACATATAGATAGATGACAAACTAAAGCTAGAGATAAAAAGAGAGACATTACCACAGAGTTCAACAAAACTCAGCAACTTGTTAGAATAAGTTTTGAAAACTATATTCCAATACATTTGAAAATAAGCCACAGGTAAATTTCTTGAAACATATGGCCTATCAAAATTAAATTAAGAAAATGTGCACAGCTTAAACCAATCTATAATAAGCCAATGGGATTCAAACAGTAGTAAACTTCTAAAAATGCCTAACCACAGTTTTAGTCACAGCAGACCCTGTGCTGACCCCATTACTTCATAAAAAAAAGAATACATCCTTTCTAGTTTGTTTGATTTTTAATATGAGACCAGAAAATCTTGAAGCTGTTAGAGGAAAGCATAGGAAGACACTTCAAGAGGCAAACACAGACAAGGACTCTCTCTGGACAGTACTCCAACAGTTCAGGAGACAATGATACCCAGAACCAGCAAACATGACTGAAAGAAATACTTAATGTTTTCTGTACAAGGAAGGAAACAAGTGAAAACGTGGCACCAATAACAGGAGAATTTTTCCTATACATTTGATGGAGAATTATTATCCAGAATAAAGAACTTTGAAAACTAAGGACTAAAACAAAATGAAAGAAAGCTCCAAACAACACAAGCAATAAATTGGGTAGTGAAACGATCCCACAGTTCATAAGCAACAAAGCCCCGACGGCTGACGAGCATATGGAAACCTGCTCTACACCCTTAGCCTTATGGAAAACGCCAAAGAAACTGAGACCCCATCTCCCTCCAGTAAGAACAGCCATCCTCACAATGGTGATAAGAGCAAGAAATGCTGGTGAGGATGCAGGGAAAGAGAACCCTTGCTATTTCTGGAGGGAGTGCAAACTGGTGCAGCCACTAGGAAAACCAGTGTGGAAGTTCCTAAAAATAGAAGTCCTTCTGGCTAAGCTATAGCACTTGGGCATGTACCAGGGGTGATAAAATTCAACCTGGTAAGATGTGTTTGCACTATTCATGATACCCAAATTATGGAGACAGTCTGTGTGTCCATCAACAGGTACATGGATTCAGAAAATACTGCCAGGCTAGTAGAATTTGGGGGAAGAAGAAAGGCAGAGATGAGTTGCCACAGAGGAAGCACGATGAGAATTCCTTACTGAGAAAAGATACCAAGTCATGTGGCCAAACACAGATAAGATTATGGGTTAATTTAAGTTGTAAGAGCTTGTTAGTAAGAAGCCTGGTCAATAGGCCCAACAGTTTACAGTGAACATAAGCCTCTGTGTGTTTGTTAGGGACTAAACAGCTGAGGGATCTGGTGGGACAGAAATTTTCATCTACAATTAATTACTGTTTACCATATCATAACACAGAGTTGTGGAATGATACTAATGACTATCGTTTTATTAATGTTCAAGCTTTGCACAAATTTTACCAAAAATACATAAAGAAAAAGAAGAATAAATACATACTGTTAACACTGCCGAGTTTTGGTATTTATTTTCTGGAGATAAATTAACATAACCTGAAGAGTAGGTCCTATTTTTGTCAGGATAACTTCTTACAGAGATTGTCGCATCAAATGCTTCAGTGTAGCCATGGGCTTGAATTACAACATTTTCAGGTGCTCCAACATGGAAGACTTTGGGTGTTGAAATACCATAGCTGTTGAAAGAGGGAAAGAAAGGCTCACTACCTTTGCAGGTTTTCTCAAATGTCTCATATGTTTTTCTTTCACTCCAGATTAATTTTAAAAACCTATTTTAAGACAGGCCGTGGTGGCATAAGCCTGTAAGCCCAGCACTGAGGAGGCAGAGGCAGGCGTTTCCCTGAGTTGGAGGCCAGCCTGGACTACAGAGTGCTTTCCAGGACAGCCGGGGCTACATAGAGAAATCCTGTATTTAAAAAAAAACATTTCAAATTAAAATTAATATCAAAATTTATTATGCTGGAAAGCATATGATTACTGGGAAGCAACAGGTTCTAATTAAGCCTAAACCACAGCTATGAGATAAAAAGCCACCAAGAATAATGGCCTTTGTTTGATCCCAGAACCCGCATAGAGGAAGGTGAGAATTGATTCTTAAGTAGGTGCCCTTTGACCTGCCCATGTCTTCAGTGTGATATGTATGCCTCCCTGCACCCAGACAAAAATAAATACGTAGTTTTTAAAAGCTGAATGTGGAACTCCCCTTCACATAAACCTTGGTCCATATTGATATATCTATCAATCATGCAGTCTGCACATGGGAAGAAATTTAATCTTGTGTATTTTTCCTCACTCAGAATTCCGGGTCTTTGGGCTTGCACAGAGTTGGGTATTGCTTGGGTTGTGTCTATTTTTCTGTAGACATCTGTATGGCGTCCCCTCATTTCCTGCAGGCTCTATCTGCCCATCACCTTTGTCAGAGAACCTTTTCTGTCCAGAGCCTTAAATGTGACCTTTTGTTTCTATACTCTCCTGTTTTCTTTATGCTACTGGAACTGCCTGTCCCTATTCATCCATTCTTTCCATGGCTCATTCATTCTATCCTTGCATATTTTTTTCTTTCATTGGCTGATTCATTGTGTCATTGGCTCATTCATTCTGCCATTGGCTCATTGATTGATTGATTGATTGATTCACTCATTTGTTATCTGCTTCTTTGACTAGAAAGCAAGCTCTAGGAACTGTCTTCTCACACCCTCACAACCTATTACAAGGTAGGTGTCATGACAGTTGGCTTGATTGTCATCTTTCATGGGTTGAAAATTCATTGACGCTTATTAAAGCACATCTGGTCAGTTGAGTCTATGCTGGTTTCAGGGAGTCAACTAAGGAATGTCATCCTCATACCTCGACTGTGGATAATCACAGCATCCCACAGACCAAGGGATCCCATGCAACGGGGGAGGGAGCTGGGTTGAGTGCAAGCACTCTTTATTTGCTTCTGAGTAGAACCCATGGACATGGATCATGAGGGTCCAGGTTCTGGTAATTAATCTACCTGTCCCTGAGCTTCAGTTGCTTGTCTGTCAAAAAGGAATACATAAAAGTAGCTAGCAGTACTCATGGATGACTTGTAATAAAGTCTGAGAGTAGACATGTGTGGCAGGCTTACGCATTAGTCCACGTTTCCTGGCATTTGTATTTCTGCAGACGCAGTTCTGACATTGTCAGGGAGGAAGTGAAGTGCTGAGCAGGAGACTGCAGTAAAATCCTGTCTCGCTAGCAGTGTGACCCTTGACCCCTCACTTCTCTTGTCTGGACTTCCCATCGCATGTGGACTGAGCAGGCTCTGCACGTTAGCCAAGGCCTATAGCACCGGTTAGCTAGGGAGCTGAAGGCAGAGTCCCATGTGGACACGTGATTTGAGACCAGCCCAGCCAGCATAGTGAAACCTCATCATAAAAAGAAGAAAAGACTATGGACTCCCATCCAACAATGTGAGATGCACTCTCACCCTGAACTCTTGGGGGAGAGTCTAGGCCCTGCCCTGGATGAAATGACAGACTATGGACACACACATGGAGGGCCTCACCCTCCCTGGGGAAATGAAAGGGATATTGGGGGATTGGTGGGAGGGCATGGGAGGAGGGGAGGGAAACGGAGAGGGACCTAGAATTGACATGTGAAGCAACCTTGTTTCTAATTTAAACTTAAAAATAAATAAGAAAAAATTAAAATACATTTATGATTAATAGCAATTGGTTTTATAAGACAACCCTATTGGAGTTACTTTGACTTCACTGCACTTAGAACAGGAAAATTAAAAACTAAGTGTCAAGTACAAGTAGGTGATAAATGCCAAATAATTAATTATCCTAGTTTGACTTTGCCAACCCAAAGTAGCAGTTGTGTTGTTAGCTGCTCCCCAACTAACCGAGATGTGTCCTCAACTCTCTCATGAGCAGCTGAGACTTTCCATTTGTTATCTCTGGAGAGGACAGTTATTGTCAAATTAAAACAGCCCTGAATCTCCCTTTCATTCCCCACAGCTAAGATGACCAGGAAAATGAAGATGGCTTGTTTTACTTACGTTTGTTCTTGTCCCCGGCTTTTGTCCAGGAAAATTAAAAAGCAAAGTGTCCACCAACTACCCATGGCTGGAAGTGGCATTCACCCATGGGCATGACCTTCTTGCAGCTACTTTTCTTTTAAGTAAACAGAGCTGGAAGTATTTGTGTAAATTATTTCTCTGGTTAATTATTAATGTCAGAGAAAAAGATCTTCAAGTGAGAAAGCTAAAATCAGAAATGGGCACATGAGGGTGTTTTAATGAACATAAAATATGATTAACATCCTGTCATGTCATGTAATAAAGACCGGAGAGTTTAACATAAACTTAGACCCAGGGACTTATTTATTTAATTCAAATAAAAGCAGGGGCCTGGGTGCTTGCCAATGTGGGGGAAGGCTTGTTGTGGGGAGCCAGGAGTCACTGCCTCTGGCTGTCTTCTCTCAGCCAGGTCCTTTGCTCTGACACCCTGCTACCTTCAAACTTGATTCTGGCAAGTTCCATTTGTGTCTAAGGTTGACAGGAGATTTACTTGGATTTCATTTTAAATAGATGAGTTTAGAATGAGTTTGGCCAGACCTTACATTTTAGAACTCAGGAGGCAGAGGCAGGCAGACCTCTGAGAGTTCTAGGCCAGAATGATCTAGAGAGTAAGTTTCAGGACAGCCAGGGCTACACAGAGAAGCACTGTCTTGAAAAACCCAATATATAAATGATAGAGATAGAGATTGAGATCGAGATGGATGGATATAGATAGATAGATAGATATAACAAATCTGAATTATAGAGGTAGCAGGTACTTGTTATAAGCAATGGTAGCTTAGGTTTATACAGGCTGTCCAAGGACTAGGTCCCATGTCCTAGAGAATGAGAAGGAGAAAAGGTTGTAACTGCCTGGAAACCTAGCAGTCAATCAGTCACATAGTCCTTAAGAGGAAATGTGTGTCTGTGAATGCATTTGTCACTCTTCCAAAATTTGCATGCCATCATCATAGAACATTTTATTTTAAATGTTCATGATTTTCAGGTAAGATTTCAATAGTTTAAGACAAGCGTTCAACATGAAAGAGATGAATAGTATTGCCCATGACAGCTGATTTTCTTCTTTTTTAAATCAAACTTTGGATTTTGGATACAGGGTCTCTCCATGTAGCTGATGTGGTCCTGGAGCTCACTGTAGACCAGGCTGGCCTCTAACACACAGAGATCCATCTTCTGCTTTCAGAGTGCTGAGATTAGAAGCATGTGCAACTACACCTTTCCACAGCTGATTTTCATAACTCCTTTACAATTTAAAAAAATGATACAAAAGGTACTCCTTAATTCAACTTATTTAATATTTTATGTGAATTAGAAAATTTTATTTACATTTTCCTTTTGTTAGTATTCATTAGTACATTAATATGTGATATATATTGCATTTCAAGTTAACAGAAGAGATGTCCTGGAGACGGAGGTGTATTTCAGTTGGTAGAGGGCCTGATTATCATGCTCAAGGCGTGGTTGGAGGCCCAGTCCCTCATGAGTATCAGGTGTATTAGTTAGCGTATCCCTGTTATCACAGCACTCAGGAGGATGAGCAATTATAGGTCATCTTGACCCACACAGTGAATTTGAGACCACCCTGAGCAACAGGAGACCCTGTTTACAATAATAATAATGATAATGTTTTTGATGATGATGTTGAAGAGATACTTAAACACAGCACTATAAGTCAGAGTTTTTTGACACATTGGCAATGGTATCCCCTACTTTAATGAGTAGGGTTTTATTTATCAATACTCAATACTGAATTTGTTAAAAGCAAAGGGAGATGAATAGTATTTCCCGTGACAGCTGAGTTTCTTCTTTTTTTAATCAAATTTTGGTTTTTGGATAAAGGGTCTCTCCATGCAGCTAATGCAGTCCTGGAAAGAAAAATTGTATATACTATTTCACTAACAGTATTTCTTTTATACATATTATTGAAATGGAAAAAATCTGCACCTATTAGTCAACTATCTAGTTCATTTATTTCCAAAGAAACCTGTAAAAGTATTAAGCTGTGTTGCATAAGATGGGTCAGGTTAAAGCAAACAGTACCTTGTGATCACTTTCAGGAAATAAACCTAAGAGCTCGAAAGACCGCCCAGTGGACAAACGTAAGAGCTATATTTCAAGTGTGAGCAATGGTGTACTTTTTGTGTTATAAGGGCCAATACTAGGAAATGATATTTCCAAACCACTCCTGTAGAAAATGTTTAAGGAATGACAGTTCTCAACAATTCATAGTCTCAACTGTTCTGTAGAAATACCTCATTCCTGTCTATCTGTCTTTTTGGACATGGTTTCTTTTTGTAGCCCTGTGCTCAGCTCAGCTCTGCTGGAAACCCTGAGGGTCAGCGATCCTCCGGGAACCTTCACCTGGCTTCTGGGGACCAGACATGTGCTGGCTATTTTTTTGTCAACTTGATACAAACTAGAGTCATTCTGTAAAGGGGAACCTCAGTTGAGAAACGTCCCCAATCGATTAGCCAATGGCAAGCCTATGGGGCATGTTTTTGATGGGTGATTGATGTGGGAGGGGCCAGTCCATTGTGTGCATTGTTTGGCTGGTCAGGTGGTACTGAGAGCTATGTATGAAAACAGGCTGAGCAGGCCATGAGGAGCAAGCCAGCAGCCGCACCCCTCCATGGCCTCTGCCTCAGCTCCTGGTGCCAAGCTTGAATTCCTGCCCTGACTTCCCTCAGTGGTGACTGTGATGTGGACCTGTGAGCTGGAACGAGCCCCGTCCACCCCAAATTACCTTTGCCATGGAGTTTGTCACAGCAGCAGGAAGCCTCAGTAGGACAACCTGGTCCTCAGAGCCTCTCTCCATCTGGGTCCTGCTGGGGTCTCCTTTAACCACATCTCTTTATTGCTTAGTAACTGTCTGTGATGTGAAGGGGCTCCTGGAAGGTGGGTCTGCCAGATACACTATGGCCAGGGGACTGAGGACAGATGCTCCAAAGTCACAAAGAACTTAAATGACTGTCCTGTCAGTGAGATGTTCCTGTCAACTATAGAGTTTTTATATTATCTTTCTGTTGTCTTTGATGGAGTTGAAGACAGATAGTTATGGTTATGGTTTTCCTTCTTTATGATAATGATATGTAACATAAGAAAGTTTAGACTCACAAAGAAAGGATAGATGATAGATTATTTTCTTTAAATTTTGCCAAATGTAAATGGACTAAATATTATTAACTGTAGTTCCTATTCAGTAACTGTTTTTGGTATATATTTTACTATGTTAAAGGTAAAATCCTTTCTTTTATTTAGACAGAAAAAGAAGATAATAGGGGAATGCCCTTTTATATACATGTTTCTCTTATTGGTTAATGAATAAAACACTGTCTGACCAATGAGGCAGATAGGTGGGACTAGAATGAAGAGAATTCTGGGACAGGTTGGCAGAGAGGACATGCCAGAACAGAAGGCATGTTGGCCACCAAACAGTAAAAGTCCATATACTCCTCCAGTAAGGTAAGACCACGTGGAAATACTAAGATTAATAGAAATGGGTTAATAGTTAAGACTGAGATAGCCAATACAGAGTCCTACTCATTGTCGAACAATTTTATAACTAATGTAATGTCTCTGTGTTCATTTGGGGATGAAGTTCAGTAGAACCAACCTGGACAAAGAATCTCTCATTACAAGACTTTATCCTTTTTCTTTTCTCTCCCAAGCCTTTGTATTTTTTTAAACACGTTGTAAAGCCCTTAGAGATTTTTGTTTATCTGATTCTGTTTTTACTGTATGTCTCTAACTTTTCCTGACCACAAATCTTTTACGTGCTAAACAGCATGCCAAAAATTAAAGTGGATGTTTTAGCTGCTATCTTTTTTCATGGCCGGTGGTACATTTCCTGCCAACACTGGGAGCTGTGCTCACTGCCTCAACTCTTAAACCTTTTTTGTCTGTATGCGTAAAAGCTAAATTTGCCATGCAGCATGCTGTGTGGCTTGGAGATGTGGTCACTGCTTCCACCAGTAACTCACATACACCATAATGGTTTGGTAGCAGGGCTTCTTAAAAGAGCTGTGTTGTGAGAGCCTCTGCTTGTCTCTTGCAAGCAGAGTCCACCTGAGAAAATGCTGCTGCCAAGAAGATGTGCTTGGCTCTGTTCTTTTGTTTAGAATCCCTTTTAAAATTTTTTTATCAGGTTTTACATGTAAATTCATGCCCCCCATTGGTGGTTCCATGTTGAAGTTGGGGTATTAATGAGTTCACTAGAACCAAGATAAATGACAAATAGTAGTTTTGGGAGGAAAGCTTATATAGAACATAGTAAAGACCCACCACAGCATTACTGTCACAGAAGATGCAGTCTCTGCTCTTTCGATGTTCTCTGCCACCCATGAGAGAGTTCCCACCCCACACTTCTCTGCCTTGGAACCATGTCCCAGCCTGAAGCCACACCTGAAGGGTGGGGTCACTAACACATTTCATTGACAAGGAAAGATGCTACTACATATCTTAGTAGTTATTTACAAGTTACTAAAGGATGCCTGAAGATTCCAAAAACAAAGTCAGCCACAAGCTATGGAAGCCAGGTACACACCTTTAACCCCAGCAGCCAGAAGCTAGATGTGGTGGCACACACTTTTAAGACTAGGATGCAGGATTAAGGGGCATGTAAGGATATATTCGCCTCTGCACTTGTAGCACTGACCATGCCTTTTGGGTGTCGTCACAGGTACTGACTTGACAAGTTAGAAGGGAAAACTCAGGGATGGAAGACCCCTTCGGGTTGCGGATATCAACCTGGTGGCAGGGTCTACATCCATGAGCAGGAGTGCCCAGCAGTCACTTGTTTCCTGTGTAAGTTCTTTTCCCCAAATAAACTCTGCTTCGTTTATACTCGGTCTAGTGAGTCCTGATTTCCATGCCCACTGAGATAAATAGATCTATGTGAGACCAAGTCCACCCAGATCTACACAAGATTTATTCAGTCCTAAGAGGAAACAGCTCACACAAAGGTGATCTCAGCACCTGGGATCACACATCTTTAAACCCAGCATTAAGGAGGTACATAAGAAAGGAAGCATCAGACATTGATTCTCCAGCCACCCTCAAGATGAGGCGTTCATCCTACATTGAGAATAGGAATGCGATGCCATTAGAAATAAAAGCTCTCTGGTAGCCTGGCTGCTTTGCATCCCTGATCTTCAGGTTGAACCCTAATATCTGTCTCTGGGTCTTTTATTTTTCATGTTACAGTTATGTTGGCTTGGAAATGTCGATGAAGCCCAGGCAGGTTGTGATTTTGTGAACCCTCTGCCTCAGTCTATTGAGACGTCAGGATTACATTTGTGTAACTGCTATGGCCAGCACCATAGACTATTTTTTAAATTTTATTTTATGTGTGTGAGTATTTTTCCTACAAATTCTAGTGTTTGGTTCCAAGCTGGTGCAACAACTGTTTGGGAAGGAGAAGGAGCTGTGGCCTGGTTGATCCAGGTGTGTCAGTGTGGATTGGCCTTGAGTTGTCAAAAGCCCATGACATCCCCAGGTAGCTGTGTCCCTTTCTCTCTGGCTTGTGCTTGAGGATCAGACAGAGCTCTGCTACTGCTCCAGCTCCATGCCCGCCTTCTTGCTGTCACCTTCCTCAAAATGCTGGCCCGGGACTCTAATCCTCTGGAATCATGATCCCCCAAATTAAATCTTTTCTTTCATGATGTCTTGGTCACAGTGCTTTGTCATGGCGACAGAAAAATAACTAAGAACTTGTCTCAATATGTTTACAAAACAGACTTTTACTTTGTTTTCTGACACTGGCTTACGTCGCTTAACATGTTAATCTTGTTTCATCGATTTTTCTGCAAATGTTGTTTTGTTATCTTTTGAAAAGAAATGTTTTTAAGTGCACATGTGTGTGTGTGTGTGTGTGTGTGTGTGTGTGTGTGTGTGTGTATCTATGTGCATATGTGAGTGATGGTGTCCTCAGAACCCTGAGAGGCACAGATCCCCTAGAGCTGGAGTTGCAGATTATTGAGAGCTACTATGCAGGTGCTGGGAACCAAACGTGGATCCTCTGCAAAGGCAGAGTATACTCTTAACCACTGAGCATCCAATCCGGCCCCAATTCTATTTTTCTTCATGGCTGATTAGAACTCCATCATGTCCCTACACTACATTATCTTTATCCTTAGGCATTTGGGCTGATTGTTTAAATCAACTGTTGCTATTCTGACGTAATAAGCATGGATTTGCAGATATCTCTCTCCTATATTGACTTTTACGTTCACACGCAGGATTTGTATGGGGGCATATGGCAGTTCTAGTTTCAGTTTTTGAGAAATCTTGATACCGATTCCCTTTCCCTCACACTCTCCCCGGAATTTCTCTTGATGGCCACTCTGACTGGTGAAGTAATCTCTATGTAGATTTGATTTCCATTTCCCTGATGGCTAATATAGTTATTTACTCTGAAGGAAAACACTCTGGAGAAGAGTGGGAGGTTCATAAGACTTAAGGCTGAAGGAAACTCAGGAGTTCATGAAGCTCATGAAGCTAGGCTCAGAAGGCACAGGGTGTTACCAGATTTCCAGGACTCTCCCTGAGTTTCCTTAAGCTTATAAAATTGCTAGAGGAGAAGAGATGCTTAGGGGGACTGCCTGGAAATTTGTCAGGAAATTGCAGGGTTGCAGCTTTCTCCATTCTTTACCCACATTAGGGTGGGTCTTTTGGAAATTCAGGTGCCCCAAGTCACCGTATGCTGCTGTAACCCCAATGAACTCTAAGGGTCACCTGGCTGGACTTGTGTAGAATTGTTTCTTTCATCTCCCATAAATATTCTATCTGGATAGATTTTGTTTGTGACTCTTCAAGAAGTCACACAGCAGTCATGAGCATGCTTTCAAGTATTTCTGCTTAAAACTGCATCCAACTCATTTACTCCTTTATTGTTTGGATTGTTTATTTGGCATTCAGTTTCTTTACACATTCTGACTAATAATTCCCAGTGAGATTAATGGGAGATAAATATTTCCTCCCTTCTGTATGCTATCTCTTCAATCTGCGCTTTAGGTACTTGTGCAATGTTTTTGGGGTGCATGTATGTGTGTGTGTGATGTTGGGTACTTTCTATTGTGTTCTCCCCTGTTGCCTTGAGGTAGAGTCTCGCACTGAACTGGAACCTTCCATTTCTATAAGGCTGACTGGACAGTGGGATCCACCACACCTCCTAATGCTGGGATCATAGGGATATATAACATGCCTGGTTGACTTTGTGTTTCTGTTACTGTGAAGAGACACCATGACCACAATGACTCTTACAACGGAAGACATTTAATTGGGGCTGTCTTACAGGTCACAGGTTTAGCCCATTATCCTCATGTGGGAAACAAGGTGGGAAGCAGGTGGGCATGGTTCTGGAGAGGTTGCTGAGAATTCTCCATCTGGATAAGCAGGCAGCAGGAAGAGAGAGTCACATTGAACCTGGCTGGAGCATCTGAAACCTCAAACGTCACTCCCAGTGACAAACTTCCTACAAGAAGACCACACCTGTTCAAATAAGGCTACAATCCCCATAGTGTCCCTCCCTGTGGGCCTTTGGGGGATATTTACATTGAAATCACCACACTGGCTTTAACACTAGCAAGAACAAGACACACACACACACACACACAAAACATGAACCAACAAAACCCATCCTCTTGCTAAGGACTACACGTAGATCCTCAGGCTTACAGAGCAGGTGCTTGTGCCCATCAAGTGGTCTCCCCAGCCTGATGTGCAGTGTTTTCATGTCTTGCAGGTCCATTTTGAACTCTTGCTCTAATTTTCTATTCAGAAACTCCTTGTCTATATCTAGAGCTTAAATTTTCCCCCTATGTGTTTCACTGGTGTTTCCAATTGATTTCTCTACAAGGTGAAAGACAGGGATCTCTTTTCATTCTTCCACGTGGGCACATACCTTTTGTTAATGAGGCGGTCTTCTCCAACATATACTTTGGAGCTTTTGCTTGGATCAGACGTCTGCAGTCATGCCCTCATTCCTGTGTCCTCTATTCCATTGTTTCTATATGTGTTTTGTGCTGGGATCACGCTATGTTGTTGGTTGTCTCTTTAAGTGTTACAGCACTGCTTGCTCTGCTCTGCCCAGGGTTGCCTGTGCTCTGTCGCTGCCGCAAAAGAAGATCTTCCCCCAAAGCTCATCCAAAGGGGTTTATTGGAAGACAGCTGGACCAGCCAAGCTGAATATACACAGGGTTTATATAGGGATTCTTGGGTTGGGGAAGTTTTTCCAGAGTAGGGATTGGTCTGATTTCAGTGCTGAGCTCAGATTGGCTAGAGCTCTGCTCCGGGATTGGTTACTTTTTACACAGGATTAGGGTCAGATTTGGCTCTGGTTTCAGGGCCAAAGTGTGTTTCTTTCTCTGGTCCTTTTTAGCCTTTTGGCTCCAATTTTAGGGCCAGGGTACATTTTTTTCACTGACTCTGATTCCAGGGACAAAGTGTGTTCCTTTGGCACTGGTTTTAGGGTCAGGGTACATTTCTTTGGTTGTGGTTGCAGGGCCAAAGTGTGTTTCTTTGGCTCTGCTCAGGGTGTGTTTCTTTAACTGGTCCCTTTTCCCTACAGTGTTCCCTGCCAGCATCTCTCAATGCCTCACAGATGCAGTCCTGGGAGATGGAACGCAGCTGAACATTGTCATACCAGGACTATTGAGGCTGCCTGAGCTCAGCGAGCAGTTCAGGTAGCTGCTGCAATCAAACACGGAAATAGCATGGAACTCATGTGACTTGGACAGACATGACATCAGCTGGAAGCCATATGGTGACAAGGGATGTGCAGGAGCCTAGTGGGGGTTCCATAGGGAGTAGCATAGGGCCCAACAGGCACTGTGAAGTCTGTGGTAGTGGGTGCAGTCCTTGTTCCATGCAATGTTGTAGAAGGAGATGGCCAATGGCTTGATGAGGGTGCTCTGCTCCAGAGTCAATGGCAAATGTATTAAAGCCAAAGTAGGCTGGCCAGCAGGCAAAGCCTGGGTCTCTAGGGACCAGCATATCCTCAAGCTCCTGGGGCCATAGAGCAGAGTGGCTGCTAAAGCAGCAGGGACCCAGGTGCAGCATCCTAGGGTCATCTGAGGATACTGCAGTGCACTGAGTTGGAGGGGCAGGAACACCCAACTGAGGAACACATACTACAAAGAGAAGGACATTGGCAGCATGGGGGAAGTGGGACTGTCAAGCCCAATTGTTCTATGGCAGTGTCACCCCATCTGGAGGGCTCTGCACACCTCTCCTCACCCCTGGCAGGTACTCTGTTTTTTCAGTCCATGGAGATGGAGAGTTGTCTGGAGATGGGTGGGATTTGGCAGGGTTTCAGTCTGGGGGACTTGGAGCCACTGAGACTCCCAGACCTCAGCAAGCAGCTCAGGAAGCTGTAGTGATCTCCCGGTGACTACAGGGGTGGGGGGGGGCAGATTGTGAGCGAATGGAACATGGCAACTCTGCCAGAGGCTCAGTAGCTGAAAGCCCAAGGGCTGTGAGGGCAGTAAGAGGCCGCCAGGCCCTGCTTCTGGCTGAGGTTGTGGGAGAAGCTGTGCCCCTGGATGGAGGCTGCTCAGATCCAGGCCCCAAGCAAAGGCTTTGCTGGCCCAAGAGGCCACTAGGCAGCCAACATATTGGGCTCGTGGTGTCAGCAGGTCCTCCTCTCTCCCAGGAACCTAGAGACACAGCTCCCACAGCAGCTGCTACACAGGAGCCTCAGGTCAGGGTGCCTAAGACCATGAAGCCTCTGAGGTGAAGGAGCAGGAGGTCTGGGGCTGCTTGAGAAAAGTGGGGCTGTGGGGCAGCAAATGCTACTCCAGACGCACCACCACCACCACCACCACCACCACTACCACCAGGCATCAGGTAGTGGCCAGATCGGATGCCCAAGCCTGAGCCTGAGGTACAGAGTTGTTCATGGCTGTTGAGCTAGCTCAGGTGCTCTCTGTCACTTGTGAAAACTCTGGCAGAGCCCGGAGCTGCCCACCCAAACACCAGGCATGGTGCTTTGGTCCTTTATATAAGTTGTGGATGAAATGACAGTAAGGGCCTTAAAGGCTGTCTTGCCCTCTGTGACGAGCTGGTGGTATGGAGGAAGGTGGAGGGAACTGGGATTGGTATATAAAATTTAAAAAAATATTGTTTTAAATTTAAAAAATCTGTTAAAAAAGGCCAAAGCCAGCATGTCCTTGGGTAGCTAGTATTCAGCACTACCTTGACCTGTGAATCTGGCTCTTTCATAGGATTTGGTGGCCTGAGTGACAGTGAGCTTCCTGCATGTGGGACTCTAAGTATGTCTCTAACATGCAGACACTTGGAAACTGCAAGGGCTTCTTACTCCGATCATTTGACATAGTCTCTGGAATCCAGAGACATCCAGATACATTGGCTACAACATCAGGCAATAGATCCCTAAAGACAAGGTCTGCCTAATGCCCCCTCCTTTCAACTCCAATGAGACCTAGAGTCCTGTGTAAAGTGGTGGCCCCAGATCCAGTAGAATAACCCCAGGACACAACAAAAGCAGACATGAACCCTTCAGCTTCCACTATGCTGCTTCTTAGAGCCAATGAAGCTGTGAGCCACGTCCTCAAGCAGGGTGGTCATGGGCTCCATTCCTTGCTTCTAGTATACCTCAAAAATTCATCCATGACCTGTAGCTGGAGCTTTTCTGACCCACCTGACAGTACTGCAGCCACTTATAAAATAATCACTCAGAGGCTTAGTAATCATTATAATTGTTTGGCCAATGGCTCAAGCTTACTATTAGATAGATCTTACATATAAATTAACCCATTTCTGCTAATCTGTGTATTGCCACATGGCTGTGGTGTTACCTCATTTTCTACATATCTTGCTTCCTCAGTGACTGGCTGGTGTCTCCCTGACTCTGCCTCCTTTCTCTCTGTATCTTTGCTTGGATTTCCACCTAGCTAATATTCTGCCTTGACATAGGCCAAAACAGCTTTATTCATCAACCAATAAAAGCAACAGAAGGACATCCCACGTCAATGACTAGGGCAAAGGAAGCCCACTAAATTCTCTATCAGATGGATTTTTCACTATATGGAACTTTCAAGGGGGCTACAGAGGATGTCCCATCTCAGTGATGACTATAGAAAATGAAGCTACCATGGTAGATCTATCAAAATTCCCAACACTTATGTCAGTTGGACATTGTTCTATCATCCCTGCTTTACCTCCAAGGACTTTCTACAAACACATGAAAATGTGTGTGCAATTTGCTGTAGTACTGTCCAAAACAATAAAGTCTGGAAGCAGCAATAAGTTAGGGCACAGGTGCACAGAGGTGCCAGGTGATGGGCTGTATGAGTGAGGACAGTCTGTGAACTGTCGGGAAATACAGCAGAGCCTGTTAAATAGAAAAAAATGACAGGTAACATGTATAGTACTCTAACTTTTGTGTAAGGATAGGCTGTAGGTGTGATCTAGGACAGAGAACATATGGAAGTCTCCTCTTCCCACCCCCTTCATGCCTCCAGCCACCAAGAACATCTCCTAGATACTACAGATGAGACTGAAAACCATCACAGTCCCCAAAGCACAAGACTACACCTGGCCAACCTCATCTTCAAGTAGATGCAGTATTCCTTCTACTTCAGACTCTGCCCAAAGACCTGCTGCTCTTCAACAGCCATAGAGAATATTGCTGGGGCCACAGGCACAGCTACCACCTGCAGATCTACTCTATCTCTGAGGCACTGCTGCCCCCATGCTGACAGGAGGAGTGGTCTGTCACCTGGGCCTGCTGAGGAGACAAGGCTGCTGAGGAGACAGGACAGCTGAGAAGCAGGACTCCCCTCAGTGATTGTGTGTGTCTGTGCTCCTGCCATCCAGAGTGTGTGTGTGTGTGTGTGTGCACGTGCATGTGAGCACACTTGCACACACATGTGCCTGCATGCACGCATATCTTCATGAACTCAGAAAAGAGAGACACTTACAGGACTCCTGGCCTTGGATATTGAGGATCACTTTTACAGACTCCAAGGGATCTATCATAACTGTGGGGAAACAGTGACTTTTTCATCCTTGGACCTAAGGTTGCTCCTTGGAAATGGCTGTGAGTTAAGCCCAGTGACCAGAGCATGCAGGTACCCCTGACACTTACCAAGCAGCATCTACAACCACATCATTCTTTTGGAACCACTCACAGTCTTTGAGGAATGCACAGAGAGCAATTCTGCCCCAAGCCAGAGTACTCTCAGGTTGCTGGTTCACCACAGTGCCCTGCCCACCACATCCTATGTCTCTCACATAGGATTTGATGGCCTGGGTGACAGTAGGCTTCCTGCACATCCCTGAGGATGGTCCCAGTGCTGCCACAGCTCCAGCCCTCCAACTGTCTTCCAGAGTACCCACCTATGGCTTCCAGGAACCAAAGTCACAACCATGCCCCACACTGGATGCCTGAGGACAGGACCTACCTGATGTCTCCTCCTTTCAACTACAAGACCTACAGTCCTGTGTGAGGTACCCAGCTCCAAACCCTAGTAAATTGTCCCAGAGATCCACATGGGCAAGTAATGTACCCTTAAGCTTCCTCTATTGTATGCTGCTACTTACAGATTGTGGAGGGTGTGCACCATGGATGTGGATGGATGACCATGGGCTCCACTCATGTTTATCTAATGCACAACAAATGACTTCCAAGACCAAGAAGATAGAGTCCTGTATCCCCAGCAGAACTGTCATCTTCATGGAAGTTACTGGGGCTACTTACAGGAACCCCTCAAGATCAGGCCTGTTGCTTGTTGATGGTCCTTCATAGAAGAAGAAGGTAGGCAGGGTCAATGGGCTCTCACCTGAGATTCCAGCCACTCCTACCTGCACCCTCAGGCAAGTTATGTATAATTCCTCCTAATTATACCAGGACCCACAAACTCAGGAAATGCTAGCATATAGTGTGTGGGGAGGTCAGCTGAAAGTGGGGATTCTGTCTGTGGAGCTGTCAGGGAGTAGCCACCCATGCTGGGGTGACGCTGTTTCACTATTACTCATGTCCTTGGAAGTAACCCCTTACGCATGCCCTGAAAATCTACTAAACCTAACAGTTCCCTGGGTTGGCCTCTGGTCTGTCATCATTGCCCTATCTGGAGAGCAGCAGGTGTTTGCTTATATCTCCCTAGAAAATATTCA